CACACTGTCCCGACTGTATGACACAGAGGATAGTCCCAGAGACAACACCCCCATACTCCCAGCATCCTGCATTGTGGAGCTGGATATAGAGTAGGCATTACGCACAGATCCATCTCCACCGCAGTGTCCAGCTGGGCTGCGTTATGTGCCTGCTCTTATCCGTGATCGTCTGATCTTCTGGGCACACACGTCACCATCCTCTGGTCACCCAGGTATCAGTCGTACAGTGCGCTGCTTGATCGGAAAGTACTGGTGGCCTACCTTGGCTAAGGACGTGAGGGTGTACGTCTCCTCCTGCTCGGTGTGCGCCCAGAGTAAGGCACCTAGGCACCTCCCAGCGGGTATGCTACAACCTTTACCAGTTCCACAACGATCATGGTCTCACCTTAGTATTGATTTTTTGACTGATCTTCCCCTCTCCCAAGGTAACACCACCATCCTGGTCGTTGTGGACCGCTTCTCCAAGTCCTGCCGCCTCCTTCCTCTGGCCGGTCTCCCCCGGCCCTGCAGACTGCGGAGGCCCTGTTTACTCACGTCTTCCGGCACTACGGGGTGCCCGAGGATATAGTGTCCGACCGAGGTCCCCAGTTTACGTCCAAGGTTTGGAAGGCGTTCATGGAATGTCTGGGGGTCTCGGTTAGCCTGACCTCTGGGTTCCACCCCGAGTCAAATGGGCAGGTGGAAGGGGTAAATCAGGATGTGTGTAGGTTCCTGCGGTCCTACTTCCAGGACCGGCCGGGGGAGTGGTCGGTGTTCTTGCCATGGGCAGAATATGCCCAGAACTCTCTCTGCCACTCCTCTACTAACCTAACACCATTCCAATGTGTTTTAGGTTACCAACCGGTTCTGGCACCGTGGCACCAGAGCGAGACCGAGGCTCCTGCGGTGGATGACTGGTTTCGGCACGCGGAGGACACGTGGGACGCTGCCCACATTCACCTCCAGCGTGCCGTGCATCGTCAGAAGGCCAACACTGACCGTCACCGCAGTGAGGCCCTGGTCTTCATACCGGGGGATCGCGTCTTGCTCTCGACCCGGAATCTGCCCTTCCGCCTGCCCTGCCGGAAGCTGAGCCCGCGGTTTGTGGGGCCATTCAAAGTCCTGAGGAGAATCAACGAGGTCACGTATAGGTTATTACTTCCCCCTGATTACCATAGTAACCCCTCGTTTCATGTGTCTCTCCTCAGGCCGGTGGTGGTTGGTCCGCTACAGGAGTCTGAGGTGCGGGAGATTCCTCCACCTCCTCTGGACATCGAGGGGGCCCCGGCGTACTCTGTCCGCTCCATCCTGGATTCGAGGCGTCGGGTGGGGGGCCTTCAGTACCTCGTGGAGTGGGAGGGGAACGAAGGAATAAACTCGGTATTCGGTGATTACCCTCCTGCGCCTGACTCCTTTCATCACACTCATCACACAATGTAATTAAATGGAATGATAATGTAGCCTATACCAACTGAAGGGAACTAACAGTAAATTGGCAGTTGAAAATGTGTGGTTATTAGGCCTACTGACGGTCCATACTGATAGTGGCAAATATTTAACATGATAGAAATAGGAAACAGAGAAAGTCGGGGTAGCCTGTAATTAAGACTTTCCAGAGTGTCCATCCCTGAAAGTTAAAAGACCGTACATAATGTCACAGCATTTCTGCATAATGGCACAGCATTTCATAAACTTTACTGTGGGAAAGTTGATATGTTGATATGCTTCAGTTTGCTGCCATATGACTGGTTTCACATTTGTCTCCAACGATTACAAGGTAAAATAGATCTAAAACAAGTGTCATTTATATTTACAATCCCCTTATCCAAATGGACTACTCATTTACCTACAGTGAGGGAACAAAGCCTGCTGATTTTGTATGTTTGCCCACTGACAAAGACATGATCAGTCTATAATGTTAATGGTAGGTTTATTTGAACAGTGAGAGACAGAATAACAACAAAAAAATCCAGAAAAACGCATGTCAAAAATGTTATAAATTGATTTGCATTTTAATGAGGGAAATAAGTATTTAACCCCTCTGCAAAACATGACTTAGTATTTGGTGGCAAAACCCTTGTTGGCAATCACAGAGGTCAGACGTTTCTTGTAGTTGGCCACCAGGTTTCCACACATCTCAGGAGGGATTTTGTCCCACTCCTCTTTGCAGATCTTCTCCAAGTCATTAAGATATCGAACCTGACGTTTGGCAACTCGAACCTTCAGCTCCCTCCACAGATTTTCTATGGGATTAAGGTCTGGAGACTGGCTAGGCCACTCCAGGACCTTAATGTGCTTCTTCTTGAGCCACTCCTTTGTTGCCTTGGCCGTGTGTTTTGGGTCATTGTCATGCTGGAATACCCATCCACAACCCATTTCAATGCCCTGGCTGAGGGAAGGAGGTTCTCACCCAAGATTTGATGGTACATGGTGCCATCCATCGTTCCTTTGATGCGGTGAAGTTGTCCTGTCCCCTTAGCAGAAAAACACCCCCAAAGCATAATGTTTCCACCTCCATGTTTGACGGTGCGGATGGTGTTCTTGGGGTCATAGGCAGCATTCCTCCTCCTCCAAACACGGCGAGTTGAGTTGATGCCAAAGAGCTCGATTTTGGTCTCATCTGACCACAACAACTTCAGACGGCCCTGTATATGTTCTTTCTTGAACAGGGGGACGTTGCGGGCGCTGCAGGATTTCAGTCCTTCACGGCGTAGTGTGTTACCAATTGTTTTCTTGGTGACTATGGTCCCAGCTGCCTTGAGATCATTGACAAGATCCTCCTGTGTAGTTCTGGGCTGATTCCTCACTGTTCTCATGATCATTGCAACTCCACAAGGTGAGATCTTGCATGGAGCCCCAGGCCAAGGGAGATTGACAGTTCTTTTGTGTTTCTTCCAGTTGCGAATAATTGCACCAACTGTTGTCACCTTCTTACCAAGCTGCTTGGCGATGGTCTTGTAGCCCATTCCAGCCTTGTGTAGGTCTACAATCTTGTCCCTGACATCCTTGGAGAGCTCTTTGGTCTTGGCCATGGTGGAAAGTTTGGAATCTGATTGATTGATTACTTCTGTGGACAGGTGTTTTTTATACAGGTAACAAGTTGAGATTAGGAGCACTCCCTTTAAGAGTGTGCTCCGAATCTCAGCTCATTACCTGTATAAAAGACACCTGGGAGCCAGAAATCTTTCTGATTGAGAGGGGGTCAAATACTTATTTCCCTCATTTAAAATGCAAATCAATTTATAACATTTTTGACATGCGTTTTTCTGGATTGTTTTGTTGTTATTCTGTCTCTCACTGTTCAAATATTAAAATTATAGACTGATCATTTCTTTGTCAGTGGGCAAACGTACAAAATCAGCAGGGGATCAAATACTTTTTCCCCCCACTTTAGCTCTTATAAATGGCTCTTATCAAGTTGTAAATTACGGTGCATGGAGAATGGTGTTTTTTTCGATCAGACCTTATTCATGGTTTCCTCACATGTAAAGGTGGTGGAATTATTAAGGCATTAAGTCAAGGTCAGAATACAGCATACAGTGGGGAGAACAAGTATTTGATACACTGCCGATTTTGCAGGTTTTCCTACTTACAAAGCATGTAGAGGTCTGTCATTTTGATCATAGGTACACTTCAACTGTGAGAGACGGAATCTAAAACAAAAAGAAAATCACATTGTATGATTTTTAAGTAATTCATTTGCATTTTATTGCATGACATAAGTATTTGACCACCTACCAACCAATAAGAATTCCGGCTCTCACAGACCTGTTAGTTTTTCTTTAAGAAGCCCTCCTGTTCTCTGTATCTGTAGACACACCTCTGCCACACCTTCATTTATTCAATCTCCCACCCATAAGAATAGCAGGCGAATAACATGCTTTTCTCATGCTTAAGTTTAAAGCCAGAATACGTGTAGAGAGAAAAGTGCATACAAAGGGAATTCCGTTCCATTTACACTCTTAACTCAGGTCGGAGTCGGCCCTATAATGCATAAAACTGACTAAATGTAATGATCATTTGTATGGGGTATGTTGAGCCATTGGTTCAACTTGACCCTGGCGAAATGGCACAATTGCAAAGCAACCATTTTGACTATATTAGCCCACACAGCTACAAGGATGCACTTTCATGCTCGGTTTAGGACCTCATATTATAGCTTAAAGAGACCCCAACTGATGGATACAACAGTCTACTTTGGTTTAAATACAAGGATCATGAAACCTCTAACACAATACATTCATTTCACTTGGTGAAAATCTGTTTTTTGGGACCTAATTTACCACTTTTTCCATGTGGTTTCTTCCTTCACAGACTCCATGAAATGATGACCTCTTCCTAAATATTTGGTCACATGATAAATGTTGTGTATGGTTTCCTAGAAACAGGGGGTGGCTCAACTAACCCTTTGGCTCAACTTACCCCACTCTCCCCGTTTATGTTCTCTCTAACGTTAAAGAGGCTACACAGAACTTTTGCCTCACAATTGTTTTACTTCGTGTTGAATTTTAATCTGAAACGTGTATCTCTGTGACAGTAGCTATATCACCCTGATGTTTAATGAAATCCAATCTCCAAAATGGGATGTTGCTGACTGGTCCCTGAGATGGTTTAAATGTGACTTGAAAGGAAACCAGTGAGATAATGCTTGCTCTCATTTTGATGTTTGCTATCATAAGCAGCTAGAGTTCTGAAAAAAGACTGTCACGTCTCAGTGGTTTTTAAATATGTATTGTTTAATCACATTGGAAATAACTAAATGTAGTGAACAAATATAGTAAATATAAAGTCTCTCAAAAGACACACGTTTGCTTACTGCTTTTGTTTGCTTTTATTTAAATTTGGAGCAGGATTGGGCCTAGAATGTGAGTAGAGACCTAAAGCGATGGACACAGGTTTGAGATATCATCTGTATAGACAAAACACGGCGGAAACATCAGTTATAACACTACAACAGAGAGCACGTATGGTCACATATCCACAGAATGTATAGTGTCTTTCTTTCTCCTCCCAGGGGTGGGTCAGTAAAATGACCTCCGCTTCAAGATGTACGGCCTCCGAGCTTTGGTGTTTTTCACTTGCCTCTTAAAAATATACGGTGATTTCCTTTTGAGCGGGTTGTCACTGTTTTGATCGGCGTCTAAGTATTCTTGAGAGTTGCCAAGCAGCTGTAAAGAAAGACAGAATAAGCCACTCCTGGTGCATAATGCAAATATAACACATGGTATGCGTCCCAAATTACACCCTATATTCCATTGTATAGCGCACTTCTTTTGACAAGGCCCATAGGGCTCTGGTCAAAAGTAGTGCACTTTAAAGAATAGGGTGCCATTTGGAACGCAGGCATTAATAATAATCGTGACATCAGATAATGGCTGGCTGTACCTATGCAGCTGTGGTTTAAACAAGTGTTTAGTGTGTTCTTCCATGCATGAGAAAACAGGTGATCTGAAGAAACCTCGACCATGACGTGTGAGGAGATGTGGAGCTGACCGTGTGCACATCAACATGAGGAGAAGGATAGGCATTTAATGAGGGGTGTTTAGCGCTGTGCAGGGCCCAGGGATGGACGCTCATCGTGGGTGTTTAGCGCTGTGATGGGCCCAGGGATGGACGCTCATCGTGGGTGTTTAGCGCTGTGATGGGCCCAGGGATGGACGCTCATCGTGGGTGTTTAGCGCTGTGATGGGCCCAGGGATGGACGCTCATCGTGGGTGTTTAGCGCTGTGCAGGGCCCAGGGATGGACGCTCATCGTGGGTGTTTAGCGCTGTGCAGGGCCCAGGGATGGACGCTCATCGTGGGTGTTTAGCGCTGTGCAGGGCCCAGGGATGGACGCTCATCGTGGGTGAGCTTGAGTGAGCGATATGTGTGTGGCCCTGTTTATATGTCTTTGTGTGTGTGTACTGCTCTCTGTAGACCTTCTGTGTGTGTGTGTGTGTGTGTGTGTGTGAGTGTGAGTGTGTGTGTGTGTGTGTGAGTGTGTGTGTGTGTGTGTGTGTGTGTGTGTGTGTGTGTGTGTGTGTGTGTGTGTGTGTGTGTGTGTGTGTGTGTGAGTGTGTGTGTGTGAGTGTGTGTGTGTGTTTTTGTGTGTGTGTGTGTGTGTGTGAGACCTTCTTAAAATGCATATGTCTGCATGAAAGTTGTTCTATTCAAATGGGAAAATGTCTATCTTTGCAGTGTATCAGCCTCTGTCATTGTAGGTGTCGGTATAGTCATCCCTATCTGTGGCCTGACTCAATCAGATTGAGCGCTAATCTGCATTGGCCGACATCCGCATAGCAGATATTTTGACGGTGTTGGAGGTGTAACTGCGGTATGAGCTGACAAACTGTATTTTTTACATTTTAGTCATTTAGCAGACGCTCTTATCCAGAGCGACTTACAGTTAGTGAGTGCATACATTTTTCATACTGTATCAGTGAGCGGCTGCTGTTGTGTGTCACAAACCACTCCTATACTTATTATCCCTACTGCATTTAGAAGTTCAAAAGGGTACCAGGAAGTGTAGGCTCTATCCATGTTAGAAATAATGACTCTCAAATGTCAAACCATTGATGTTAGGCTGATGCAAATCAAATCAAATCAAATTTTATTTGCCACACGCGCCGAATACAACAGGTGTAGACATTACCATGAAATGCTTACTTACAGCCCTTAACCAACAATGAATTAATTTTTTTCAAAAAAAGTAAAATAAAACAACAACAACAAATAAGTGTTGAGAAAAAAAGAGCAGAAATAAAATAAAATAACAGTTGGGAGGCTATATACAGGGGGGGGTACCTGTGCAGAGTCAATGAGCGGGGGCACCGGCTAGTTGAGGTAGTTGAGGTGTTTTCCTGTTCATTTGGATGGGGGGATTGTAGCCTATCAGTCTAATTCGAGTGTTTGAACTTGTAAAGCGGCTGCATGAATTTCTGACTCGGCTTCAAGGGATTGGACGGATTAGAGTCGGCTGTGGTTTGGTTGCATCCAATGGCAGCGTCTGCAATAAGGTAACGCAACGAGCCGCTTGTGGATAGCTCTAACGCAGTTCCCCCTCCGACACCTCTGAATCCAGCCCTTAGTGTCTGTATATCCCAGTGTACGTATGTATGTATGCATGCATCCCTGTGTGCGTCCCTCACCTCTCGGGGCTGCAGTATTCTGCAGATGTGCTGTAGGTCGAGGAGCTCGTCCAGGGGCTCAGGCAGGGAGGCCAGCCTCTCCCCCAGCTCCTCCCCAGTGTTGTACTCCTCCTGTTCTCTCCACAACCGGCTGTTTATCAGGCTGTTCACCATCCTGCACACGTTCACCAGGGACAAACGCCAGTAGGGGGCGTTCTGCTTGCTCTGTTTCATGTGGGAGACGATAGGAAATAATTAAGACAGTGTGTGTGTGTGTGTGTGTGTGTGGTGTGCATAAGTGTGCTTTCTGCTCGCTCTCACAATTCATGGCAATAGATCAGTCAGATCTTAACCTTATCTAGCTCCAAGCCTGCTCTGTCATAATCTAGTTTGAGCTTGTGGTGTTGGATGGTGTGAAGCCCCTGCCGCTGCCTGTGGGGGCCCCTGTGCGTGGGCCGAGTCCCTAACAGTACACAGCCCAGACTCCCTCCCGGGTGTCACTGACAATGATGAACAGAGTCATAAGGAACATAAGATTGGAGCTTCTAAATCACCTCAAACCCCATCTCACCTATCAGCTTTGCTTTTATAGATGGCAAAGGATAGCACTTTTATTTCCTGGCATCGCCATTGTTGAGAGAGGAGTTGTTAGATATTACATATGGATTTGTAGGCCAAGGGGTAGAAATGTCACCGAGTGGATTTGTGTTGTACTGAGCAGCCATAAACCCCCCCAGCGACACGACAGATAGGACGTCTCGGTCTGGCTGGATAGTGTTGTGGGTTCCTGACAAGATTAACATTTAGAAAACCCTACAATTACAAATGAGCTCTTGTTTTATTAACACACTGGGTTGTGAGACGAGAGGTAGATTAACTTTAAATTGTGCCTCATCCTTCGTCTTTTCGCTCAGTATCACTTAATCAATGAGGGACTGA